CAGCAGCTGCAGCAGCTGCAGCAGCTGCAGCTGCAGCTGCCGCATTGTGAGAGACTGCACCGCCTCAAGAGGCGCTCAAAGCGCAGCAGCAGTCGTTCTTGCTGCTGGAGTGGTGTCTTTTAATACTTTTGCTGCTGCAGACTTGCTGCGTGAGCTTCTATTGCTGCTGCTGGTGCTGTGGTTGTTGCTGATGTCGCCTTGCTGCTGCTGCTGCTGCTGCTGCTGCTGCTACGTTGCAATGCGCCTAAGCGAAAGGGCTGGTACTCCAGGGGGGCGCTGAAGGAAGGAAGAACGCTGCTGCAGAGGCCGACTGGGGATGTGCTGCTGCTGCTGCTGCTGCTGCTGCTGCTCTGCGCATTAGGAAAGCAGCAAATTTACCCGTCAAGCATACAGAGCACAGCCTTAGGGGTCACGCCACATCAAGGCTCTAGAGGCTCTGGCTTATATATTAGGGTTTAGGGTTTAGGGTTTAGAGTCTAGAGTTTAGGGTTTTGTGTTTCCGTTTAGGGTTTAGGGTTTAGGGTTTAGGGTTTAGGGTTTAGGGTTTGTACCTTGAACAGGGGGCCCTCCTAGCAAAGGCGTGCCCAGGAAGGGCTCTTCGCCAAGACGGCTTCTGCGGCGGCTGCTGTATCTGCTGCTGTTGCTGCTGCAGCTGCTGCTGCTGCAGCTGCTGCTCCTGCTGCTTCTGCTGCTGCTCCTCACCCACAGGCCGGGAGCGCAGGTGCTTGACGCAGCAGCAGCAGCAGGCGCAGGAGCTGCTGCAGTTGCTGCTGCTGCTGTCTTGTGCTGCATCGCATAGCTTCCTGAGGACACAAGTATACCGGGGCACAAATCGTGGCTGCTGCTGCACTTTGCTGCCACTGCTGCTGCTGCCGCTGCTGCTGCTGCAACACAGCGACGACGCTCTGTAGCTGGCTGCTGCAGCAGCAAGCAGCAACTGCTGCTGCACTGGCTTACTTGCAAGCAGCTCCTTGACTGGAGCAGCAATAGCTTCTATTCGCTGCCCCAGGGACCCCACAACATGAGTGGCTCCTTTGTTCTTGTTGCTGTTGCCGCTGCTGCTGCTGCTGCTGCTGCGCCAGGCCTTAATAAAAGAGGAGGAAAAGTCCCGGTCCCTCAGCAGGTCCCGCCCATCACCGCGAAGCCGCAGGAGTTCTCTTTGTTGGAGCTGCTGCAGCCGCTGCTGCTGCTGCTGCTGCTGCTTCTGCTGCTGCTGCTGCTGCTGCTTCCGCAGCTCAAAGGCCTTGGGGGACCCCCTGTCAGCCAGGGCCCCACACGCGCTGTTTGCTGCTGAGCTGCTGCAGCTGTCGAAGCAGGAGCAGCAGCAAGGAGGGGCCCCTGCTGCTCCCTGCAGCGTTTCTAGGCCGACGCTGCACCGCCTGCTGTTGCTGCTGCGGTTGCTACTGCTGTTGTTGCTGCTGCTGCTGTTGCTGCTGTGCCAGCTGCCCAGCCCCCGGGGCCCATAAGGGTAGAGGGGCCCCAAGGCCCCTGGCTCTGGGCGTGGGCAGCCCCAGGTTCTTGGTTGACAGGCATTTTGCTGCCGCTGCTGCTGCTGCTGCTGCAGCTGCTGCTGCAGCTGCTGCTGCAGCAGCAGCTGCTGCTGCTGCTCTATTCTGTGCCTACTGAAGCAAAAGGGAAAGGCCCTCTCGTGGTCCACGCAGCCTTTAGCCTCGGGGGCCCCCGGGGGGCCCCGGGTGGGGGGGCCCC